GCAGGGCATGGTGGCCTGGTTCAAAAGCGAGTACGCAGGTTCGGTGTGGCCCAGCGCCGTGGGAGGGTTCGAAGGACGGTCGGAAAAAAACTCCGTCGACCGCAAGGTGGAGGCTGGCTGGGGTGCAGATCGCCCGGTGACGTACCTCAGTGGGGATACGTCGTCGCGGTACCACTTCGGGAACATCTTGAAGCCGACCTACACACTTTGCTCCGTCACTCGATATACAGGCTCTGATAATATGAACCGAGTCCTGGAAACCAAGGGTCCAAATTGGTACCATGGTCATTGTTGCAGAAAACCAGGCTCCACGTACCACGACGGCTTTCTCACGGATGAAAACGCCCCTTTGTCCGAATCGCTTGACTGGCTGGTGATGTGTTCAACCAACGATGGCAAGAGAACTTATAGCAATGCCATGGGAAACACCACAGTCAACGTGGCGAAGAAGAACGGCAAGAAGTTCAGCAAAGACATGCCCTTGATTGTAAACGACGAGCAGTACGGTTCAAAATCGGACTACGGAGTCATGGAGATCATCACGTGGGACAGGGCGCTCTCGGAGGAAGAGATGCAAGCCAGCATGGAGTACTTGAAGTGGAGGTTGCGAGCAGGATCTGTCCTTGAAGTTTCGGAGCATCTCGCCAGACACCCCGAGAGCAACTTTGATTCCTTCGGAGATCAAAATATGAACGGCATCGAGGCTCAAACTTTCGATGTCAGCCTTGCCAACGGCTACTCAGCTCAGCTGTCGGGGTGGACCAACACTCGATCTTACGGCCGTGGCTTTCTCAGGAACAAGGATGGCAAGGCGACCGCAGTCGTGAAGGGTTTGACTCCAGCTGCCATGTATGTATACGAATTGTTCCAGGTAGGCGAGAATCCCGGCAATAACTGGGTTGGCCAATGCAAGATATCGGTGAACCATGGCAGAGAATCTCGAGGTCAGTCTGGCCCCGTCGTTATCCCTCGCTTCTCAGGCGTGGCGACAGCAAATCCCCGAGGCGAGATCGTCTTCGAGTTCGAGCGCATCTCGGTGCACGTGTACATCTCGGGCATTTCAATCGCAGCCGTTGGACCGTCCGGAGTCGTGTCCAAGCCCGCGGATCCCCCACCGCAGGTGCAAGGGATGCATGAAGTCAACGAAGTCATGCCAAGAAAGTTCGTTTTCGAGGTGTTGGGATTTAAGGGCTGAGAGGTCTGCAAGATAAGGATTCTGTACTGTTGGTGCGTTGCATGGTCGTCCTCGAACCACAGGGCCGTTCCACTCCAGTTGACTGCGCTCGCACATGCAATGCTTCTGTCTTGAGTTATCGATTTGTTATGTGGGTCAACCCTGC